TTTTTAAGATTTTATTTTATTTCTTTATCTTCAGAGAGGGAAGGGGGGGGAGAGAGGGGGGGAGAGAGAGAGAGAGAGAGAGAGAGGGAGAGAGAGAGAGAGAGAGAGAAACACCAATGTGCGGTTGCTGGGGGTTCTGGCCTGCAACCCAGGAATGTACCCTGGCTGGGAATCAAACCTGGGACACTTTGGTTCCCAGCCCGCGCTCAATCCACTGAGCTACGCCAGCCAGGGCTAGAATTCTTTTTACTATTGTTGAATATAGAGAATTTGAAACTGTAATGCTGAATTAAAGAGTTTATGATAGCATATTTGTCATAACATATTTACCCTTCCTCAAACTCTATAATGATTTGCTCTGTTGGAATCTCTCCCTTAGCCTGATTTCAACTTAAGTGTATATAATGATGGTTTAGGTTTCTCTCATTTAAAGCAGAAATGACTTGATATTACACTTTTTGCCAATCATAGGAAAATAAAAAATTGTATAATATTCTTCTTAGTTAGATTTCTTTTTAGCAACAATAGTAACAAGTGCTAAATTTGAATAGTGCTTTGAAGTTAACAATAAGCTGACCCTTGTATCCTCATTTAATAAACTATTTATACCAATAGTAAAGGTGTGTTAAGCAATAAAAGAGAATTAGAGAGGAGGAAAGCAAACATTTATTGAATACTTTATTAAAATTTGATATTTTAGTAGTTTCTTTATGTGTATCATAAATCAGTTGCCAATGACAAAAATTTCCTAAATAATAATGAATATTATTTTCCATCATCTTTTTTCACTTCCTGATTCCCTCAGTGATTGGTGGCATCATTTACCAGATGGCTGACTAGGGGAAGCATGAGGCTCTTGAACCTATGATTACCACATCAATGTCAGAGAAAAACTGATCACTCTAAAACACTATCTAGAAGCAGATGAAAATCTTCTAAGAAAGCTGAATGTTCCAGAGTTAAAATTCTAGGTTTTAAAGCTCATTATCTAGGGGCTTTACCAACAACATTAAGCAAAAGCAAACCATACTTTTTTATTTATACTTACTTCTAAATAAATGGTTCAAAATAGCCCTACGTGTTTATTTAAAATGAGTTGCATGAGTATCATATAGGAAAATATCAATTAAGAGTTTTCTATTTGTAATTAATATAAACATTTTAACTTTTAAGTATATGGACTCACTAACCAGTGACATGGAACAGAGTTCAGCCTTAAGGAAAAGAACTAGTACACTAAAGAGTAGATCAATGGAAACTGGTAGAAAAATTAAGGAAACATACAACCTTGCTAACTGGTTTAATTGGTAAGCTAACTGAAGATCACTTATTTACTCTTCATGTGTTTGAAATAACATGTTCAGAATAAAATGAAAAAAATCAAATTTTCTCACTTCATATTTTTCCATAAGGACAGCATTTCGAGCTTTGATATAATTAGGAGCTGGAGAAAAAGTTAGATTCAAAACCCAAATGCCAAACAAGAGGCCATAATCTGCATATCCAAACTCAGCAAATGTAGTGAGAACCTATTGTCAGTTCACAGGTGACCACTGTGCAATGTGGCCAACATCCTTTCCCAAAGTAGCACGGTGAGCTGAGAGCCAAAATATTTTGTTAAGAATTAGTGTGAAGTTAAAAGTAGTGTAAGAGTTACTTGATCAGCCAGTAAATCAAATAAATTGTTATATGGAAAAGTTTTAATTTGTTACTCAAACAGTTGTGTGTGAGAGTGTGTGTTTGGTAGGCACATATTAGCACAAGAGCAGAATTCAAAATGTAAATGTTTTTATTAAATAATTCTTCACACATTTTCCAAAATACACTTCCTATGTGTTTAGATTTTAACATTTTAATAAGATTTATACAGTGAAAGTAAATAGACAGGAAATAATTTGCTTGGATCTGTAACCATGTGCGACATCGGAGGACAGCCTGCGAGGGTCGAGGGTCGCCGTGGAGCGGAGGGACTGTGGTGAGCGCAGCTCTCACTGAAAAGATGGGCTTGGACATGTTGGCAGAGGTCCCTCCAATCACATGTGTGTCTGCATCCAGAGCACAGGTGAAAAGATTCTCCTTCCCAGTTTAAATGTAATCTTGGCCATGTCCTTCTTTTAAAAAAAGTCACTATTTAGTATTTTGCTCTTTAAAGAAACCACTAAAATATTCTTCCTGTTCCCCTCCCTGAAAAATGGTGATGAACCACTTAAAGTGAAACTTTGGCAGGTTCCATTTTAATCCTGGTTGAAGTTAAGCACAGTAAGTGGTCTTCTAGCTCACGTTTGTCATCAATCTATTGTTTTTTTCTAATGTTTATAATTTAATTTCAACTAGACATCTTAATATAGATCTGTGCCTTGTACTTGCTAAACAGATACAAAGTTTCAGCATTAAAAACATTTTCTTCATTTTTTTGTGTGTGCCATTTTTTTGTAGCAGAGACAAAGACAGCTGAGATTTTAAAATATTATCTACTCTTTGCACCATAAATACAGCTTTGTTTGACTTCTGCTAATTCTCAGAATTCTTTAAGGGAGAAAAATTATGCCCAATGATTCTGTTTGACATATAGAATGGATTTTGTTAACTGTTGCATGTATAAGTCTATTCTTCATCAAACTTAAGAGGTATTATTTGAAATCTGGAATCCTTAAAACCCAATCTTGGTCTAGGCAGGTGCAAATAAATTGGTGGGAGATTTAAAATATTATTATTATTATTATTATTATTATTATTATTATTATTATTATTATTAAGTTTGAATGTATTGGCAGAGAAAAGGGCAATATGAGGCTTGACAAGAGATTCTCTACATTTAAATATGAAAAAGGACCTTTTAAATTTTTGTGAAAAATGCACAATGTACAGAAGAGAGTGAATGAGTGACATGAGTGAGAAAGACAAGATAATGGGAAACTTCTAAGACCATATGTCTTCTCATCTACAAGACCATAAACACTTTCTTGTCTGTTTTTCTAGTTCTAGACCATCATTACTCTAGTGCATGCTGAGCACTGTAGTGTCTCACACTAACTCCCAACGATTTCTTCATCTGGCCCCTATCTCTTCAAGTTTGATTTATTTCACTTCACCAGTATAAATTGTCGACTACTTTTAGGCTGGACGCTTCTCAAGAAGGCAGTCAGTCTCCTTCTCTGGGCTCATGTGTCTACAGTTTCATGCATTTTTCAGAGCCTAGTGTAAGCCCTACCTCTTTCAAAGCTCTTCCAGCAGTTCCCTTCTCTGAACAGCTCACTTGTGTAAAAACATCAGAAAGTGTCAAGTTTTCTGAGGTAGTGAAAATCATGCATAACATTCTCTTCTACCAGATAAAACTCTGTATACCTATGATTAAATTCTGATTCTGTCTTTTCTCATCCTCTCTCATTGTATTCCTCCACATAATCTGTTTTTATACCAGAAACTGTTCTTGCAGAACATATATTTTCCTACTCTGTGCTTTGATTTATGCCATTTCCCTCAGAATGTGAGAGTAGTAAGCTAAGGTTTCTTGAGGCTTTACTCTGTACCAGGGACTTTGTTAAAAATTTTCCTAAAATTTGTCATTTAGCTTCATAACAAAGGTATAAATCAGTACAATTACTTTTCCAAATAACAGATGAGGAAATTCAGATATAATGAAGTAAAATTACTTACCTTCTAAGTTTTCCATTCATGTCTCAAAAGCAATATATTTCCCCCCCTGACGATCACTTCAGAACCAACAAGTGACAGGAGGTACAATGTCAATGGAGCGCATTCGATGAATATGGCTTAAGATTTTGATGATATAAATTCTTTGGAGCACCCATTATTTTTCGTGATGTATCAAGTATTGATACATCTTTTTTTTATATACATCTTTTAAAGTTCAGTTTGTATGTGACCCCCTCTGTCCCTCTAGTGATGTTTGGGGCTCAGTGCTCTGCAGCACAACAGTTTTCACTGCTGCCTTCCTACTTAAACTGAGGTCCATGGCCAGCACAATAAGTATCACCTGGAGCTTCTTAGTAATGCAGACCCTGCCTACGTTATTGGAACTAGTGAATCAGAATTTCCACTTCAGTGAGAGCGCACGACGGACTATTCATATGCATTGTAGAGTTTGAGAACCAAAGTTTTTTTCCTCTGATAAGATACTCTTTTTTGCATTTAGTTATTCACAACAATTGCTTCTTATTCCTGATATTTTCCAAATAGAGAGCAAGTATGTTATTTATATTTGTCTCACTCAGAATAACTAGCATAATACTTCCCATACGGTTGCTTCTCAGCACATCTTTATTAAATGTATTTATTAAATTGAGAGCAAATTCCATGGAAGTCATACCTTTATATATCCTATAACTCACAGAACCAATATACTTCTCCAGAAAGTTCTGGGAATGTAGTTATCCCATCTTTCTAGTTTGTATTGTGTCTAGCAAGTATACGAAATGTACTTCAGATGAAGTGAGGCACTAAATAGATTAATTAAGATAATTGATTAATGTATTAAAGAGAGTTTTACAGAAATATAATTTTATTTTGAATTTATTTATTAATAAATACCTATAAGTGTCAAGAAGTGGTTTAACTTCTTTATTAACAGATTCACATTATGAACTAAGATTGTATGGTAGAGCATAAGTCTAGTTAAATCAATAAAGATTGATTTGAATGAGATTCCTCATTCTATTCTAATATACAATGTTGCACATCCATTTCAAGTTGTTTTATTACAGATGACTAATGTACCACAGTTAATATAAAATGTCAGTATTTAAGGAATTTTCAGATTTTTCTTTATTATTTTAAAATTCTTTTAAATTAATTGAAAATAAATATTGCAGTAAGTGGTTGCCACTCCTGTTTGGTATTAAAATAGAATATCAATATACATCAACAGAAACCCACATTCCATTGCAGAAGAGAAATACCTTGACAAATTCAGAAGATTATAATGTATATAATATGTTTAACTTGTGATCATGAACATCCATGTGATTTTATATTCAAAGGGAGGAAAGATTCCAATCCGGTGGACATCACCAGAAGCTATAGCCTACCGCAAGTTCACATCAGCCAGCGATGTATGGAGTTACGGGATTGTGCTCTGGGAGGTGATGTCCTATGGAGAAAGACCCTACTGGGAGATGTCCAATCAGGATGTAAGTATTTGTAGTCTATGAGTTAGGGATTCAGATTAAGAGAGCAAGCTGTGCAAGGAAGTGGAGCATAATGAAACCAGGTGGCTCCTGCTGAAATAGAAAACTTAAAAAATGACATTGTTTCCAAATCATGAAAGAATATTAATTGAGCTGCTCTTATGGCTATATAGTTTTCCTTCAAGCAGGAGTTCAGAATTGAGATAAAAATGAAGATGTTTGTATTAAAATGTAGTGAAATAAGTGACGAACAAGATAACCATTATATATCAGGGAGTGTTAGAAATATTTTTGCTACACAATCATTACTATGTAAGATATACATGTCCATTCTCCTTTGTAGATTTAATTCATGCATCTATGTTGACATTTTATTTACTTAAAGATAGTATTTCCCAAATCAGACGAAACAACCGATTTGTAGCATGTTGTTTCTCATAATGTATTAATGTTGCACATGCATGTAGTTTTACAAGTTGAAGTCTCTGGATAAGAATAATAATCTTTAACCATATAACTGTGATTGATTTTTCAAAAGGATTTTTGTTTTTATAAGTCATGTTTTGCTAATGCTTAATAAAAGGATGCTCTTGGCATATGGGATCAGCACTCAGAGATTTTTCTTTATGCTTAGCCAGAAACTGTGAGCATGATCTCAAAACACATAAGAAGGAAAGCTGAGATGCTTTTAGTCATTTCCTACTCACCACATATAAAATTGCTTTTAATGTTTTTGGATATAAAAACCTTTTTGTACTTCTTCAAACACACTATTTTTTATAACACTAATGGGAAAATCAGACTCTCTTTTTCACATCTCTATTTTCAAAATTTTCTTTGTGTCATAGGACCCCAAAATGCAGTCTCTGAACCGGCAGCTTTAGCAGACCCTTGGAATTTGTAGTAATGCATGTTCTCAGACCTTACCCCAGAGTGATATAATCAGGGGTTAGTCATCTACATATTAATATGTTCTCGAGATGATTCCTTTTTTAAAGTTTTTATTTACTTAATTTTAGAGAGAGGGCAAAGGAGGGAGAAAGAGACCAAGAGAAACATCTACACGGGAGGAGCATCAGTCAGTTGCCTCTGGCATGCGACATTTCTCTTTGCAGGATTGCACCCAACTAATTGGATCACATCAGTGTGGGCTCCAGATGATTCTGATACATAGCAAAGTTTAAAATCACTGCTTTATGTGATTTAAAAGTGCTAGTATACTTATAGTTACTTAATTGTGCAACACATGAGCTTTTACCAAAGGACCCTACTATGATTTGAAAGGTACCATTTGAACTGTGGTATAAATAAAATCTGTAAACTGTTTTTTTCCTGCATTCATTCATATATATTTTCCATAGAAATTTGTATTACTGAATAAAATTTTTCTTTATAATTAACTGACTTTTCTGTCCTAGAACATTTTTTTAAAAAGTTTTAATCTGAAAAGTATCTTTACAAATTCTTCTAGATTTATTTTCTCTCTCTTGATCTTCCTCTATTTACATTTTTGGGCATTAATAACATGTATTTGATAAGATGTTATTTTTAAGCTGTTTAAAATGAGCACTTTGTGCTTATGTTTAAAATAGTCATATTAGTGTGGTCTGTCCATGAAGAAGTAAAAGAAGTCCCAGCTTTTAAGTCCTCGGAAACTTTGCTTCCTGCACAGGTAATTAAAGCTGTGGACGAGGGCTATCGCCTGCCACCCCCCATGGACTGCCCAGCTGCACTGTATCAACTGATGCTGGACTGCTGGCAGAAAGACAGAAACAACAGACCCAAGTTTGAGCAGATTGTCAGCATTCTGGACAAGCTTATCCGGAACCCAGGCAGTCTGAAGATCATCACCAGTGCGGCAGCAAGGTGACACATTAGAGTTTGCATCCTGCACTCACTCTGAAAGGAATGTATTTTATATCTCCAAGTTATTAAGCTTTTTCTCTCTCTTCCCCAACTGCATTTTTTGAAACTTATGCTCCTCGAGATTGAAGAGATGTATGTTTTTGTCTCCTTTTAAATCTTTCAGGAAGAAATTTCATGCTATTTAATGATAATAATGAAATTGTGTTATTTTTAACTTTCATCTTCACTAGAAGTGAGTCTACATTCAGACTTAAGTCTTTGGAAAATAGAGACCCAGGACACATAACTTATTTTCACTCTCAACTATATAAACATAAAAAAGAAAAAAAGAAACAAAGAAAAACTCCTGGAGTGGTAAAGAATTCAAAATGCTTCCAAACATTGCATTGACTAGCAAAACCCTACTTAATTAAACAAATACTTGTGCAAGCCATATTGTGTGTCAATTATACTGTTAGCATCTGCCAGGGATGAAACTAAACAAAATAATGCCAATTTTCCAAAACAGCAGCACAGCATCAATACTTCATAGCTATGCTGTGATCCAGAGTGCACGATGTCTGTTAGATTTTATGTGTATGCCTCCCAGTTAAGAATCAATGGGCTCTCTTAATGGTTTCAACAAATGCAAATTAAAGCATACCCACAAAGTGCAATAGAAGAAATAGGTAAGGAGAGATTAATTTTGTCAGGGCCATATGTAAGAAAAGAAGTGTTAATATATTTGGCATCTCTCAGGGAAACTAAAGGCAAAGATAACTATGTGGTTTAATAATTTGTTTCTCATTGCATACATAAGAAAAACAGTTATTTTACATTTGATGATGTGATGATGTGTGAAAATCTAATGGTAAAATTACAGAACTTTAGTAAAATAACTTACACTTAATGTGTATACAAATCCACAGTATTAAGTGATATGTATAAATACTGTATAATGATGCCGATGTAAAAGTGTAATATAGTGCCTTATTGGAAAGTTTCTTATGTCTTTTTTGGACATCTGCTCTTTTTACTGACAATATTGGCAGTTGTGATTTGCATACTGAGAGAATATTTACTAATATACTTCACAATAGAATATATGATTTATAACACAAACCAGTATAATTATATTGAATATTCATGATTTCATTTTTAAATCGCATTTAAATGAGGTGAGTAAGAGGAATCTGAACCAAAGTCTTAATATGAGTGTATAAATTTTATAGATTATTGTCTGGAAATAACATTTAGACGTTCCTAAGACTGAACTTAATGATACATCTTAAGTAGATAAAACTACCTACAACTTACCATGTAAGGATGAATTTCTGTTCTAAGTTTCACAGAGAGAGACTACACAGACCCTTGGAACTCTACCTGACAACTTAACAACTAACAGGACAACAAACTTGTCCTTTCCTGGACCATGTGGTCCTCATTTTGTGTCCTGAAGTTATTTCTTTTTATCCTTACTTACAGCAATCATAGCAAAAAAGAACATCTTTTCAATTATTTCCACAACATAAAAAGACATTCAAAACCATTTCCATAGGATGTTGTTAGCCATATAAAGACTAACTCATATAATATGATGTAGGGATATTTAACTTAATTTTATGTGGGAAAGTGTCTTAATATCAGATCATAGTATGTCAGGATGTGTTTTAGTATCCAAATTTTAACGTACTTCTTAAATTCACTTTTTCACTCCTATAGAAATATACTGAATATATTTTCTCCTGGTATATATTATTTGAAACCTGAATAAATTCTATGTATTTTCTCATGACACATGTAATTTTAGGGAAAAATAAGCAATTTTCTAAAAAGTACCATCTATTTCAATTTACTAAATACAAGAGTTTTGAAAATTGTTTTAATATGCTTACTGATTGCCACTGAAATACAAAGCAGGGAGGATTGTGTCATTATGAATTCATTAGCAAGAACTTCAAATAGTCATATGATAATTTCAAGAAATCTTTTTTTTAGAAAGTTTGCTGTCCCATTTTTGACAATGATTATTTCATCCTTTTTTATAACTGATTGAACTCTGATGGCCTTGCCACATAATTTGTTGAGAAAACACAAGCTATCAGATGGGAAATTCTAGCAGCAAAAAAAAACAAAAAACACACAAACAAACAAATAAAAACAACTTACTGGTGCCTGCTCACACACACACTCACCCATCTTGTCTTTCTTTCCTCTATTTAAAGGAGAGGGAGTGTCCCCATACTTGTCAGAGACAGATCCTCTCTCTCTCTTTCTCTTCCCCCTTCTCTTTCCCCTCCACATCCAGCCTCTTCCTTTCTGCAGGTTCATTGTCATAGAATTATATTCTATTGCACTTTTCTCAAATTCCACTGATGATCACCAGGGGAACTTACTAAATATACAACTACCCACATCTATCCCAAGCTACTATTTCAGAATTTCTAGGGAAAGGGACTGAAATGTGGAAGTCTGATAAAAATACCAGGTAATTTTTTATAGGCAGGTGAATTTAAATGATTGTCTGTCAACATTACCTCTTCCTGTCCCACATCTCTGCCAACTATTTCCTTATTTTTCTACAACCCTTCACAGCAAAACTTACCAAATGGAAGTCTCATACATATCTCAAAATTAATATCTTGACTTTTTTTTACTTTCTTCAGATAACCTCATTGTTCCACTGCCTTCCTCATTTAGTTCAATTCACCAGAACCCATCAGGATTAGAGCAAATCTCAGTGCTTCTTTCTTCCCCTCTTCACTTTGATCCTGGTGATCATTGGATCAATACAACCAATCTACAAACACTCTCTTTTCACTACAAACACTCTCTTCTATATACACATATATAATACTGTCTCCTCTGACCTGGACCACTACAATAGCCTTCTAATGTCTCCCTGCTACCATTCTTGCCTTCCTCCAAGCATGTTTTCATATAGCCTTCAGAATTTCCTTATCAAAATATGTATGATATAATTTTGGTCGCCTGTTTATAACCAATCTTGATTTCCCATTACACTTAGAAAAAAAAAATCTCTACTCCCTTTGATGATTTAAATAGCCATGCTTCTCCAATGTCATTTCTTTCATTTAAACATGTATTTACTCATTTTTCTTTTTTTTAAATTTTATTTATTTATTTTTTAGAGAGGGGGAAAGGAAGGAGAAAGAGAGGAAGAGAAACATTAATGTATGGTTGCCTCTCATGTGCCCCCTGTTGAGGACCTGGCTTACAACCCAGGCATGTGCCCTGACTGGGAATCAAACCAGCAACCCCTTGGTTCACAGACCCACACTCAATCCACTGAGCCACACCAGCCAGGGCCTATTTATTCATTTTTCAATAACTATTTATTATATACCAATCTATGTGCCAGCCATGGGTAGAACCTAGAGAACAGTTAAGAACACAAATATGGTCCCTGGTATCCTGGACCTTATATTATAGAAGATGTTTAATACACAATAGGCAGTACATTTTAGAGGAAGAAAATAGATAGTTATGATAGATAATATAAGGGTGATTGAAAATGGTATTTTGAGGAGTTACTACTGAGCTAAGACCTTAAGAAAGGAAAAGTGCCATGTGTTTAAAGAATCTTCACCATCCTCACCCACCCCCCAACCCCCCAAAAATAGAAATAGTCTTGGCATAGGTATATCAACTGCAAATGAATTTGGAGACCTCTAGGAAGTGGCAGACCGATAACATGACTGAAGAGTGGTAAGGAAAGGAAGAGTCTCTGACTATAGCCTAAGAAGCAGACAGAAGCAGGAGCACTTGAGGCTGCCCAGGTCATGGTGAGGACTTTGGAATTTGAAATGCATGAGGAACCCATTAAGGCATTTGAAGCAGAGAAGTGACATGCTTTGATTTACATGACTACTTGTGGAGGGAGAGGGCTGTTGCAGCCTTTCAGCATGTGCCACTTTCATTTGAACAGTACTGTAGCCACAGCGCCCAACATCTAGTTCCTTTAAAAAGACAAAGGACTTCAGATATGAAGATAATGGCACATGCTGTTTTCTTGACTTAAATTCCCCTTTGCATCCTTCTTTATTCAGGCAGTAGCTTCTACATCTTATATTAATTGAGGCCTTCTCTCCCAACACAATTTAGAGGTTAACGCAATTATTTGTTTAAGGGCACCATATTTTGTCTGTGTATCTTCCTTTTAAATATTCATTTCTCCAATAAACTCTAAGCCCTTTGAGATCAGATACCACACTTCTGTTGTATTACCAGTGCCAAGCTGATAGTGGAAACTCAAAATCTGTTAAGTACATGAATAAATATTTACTAAAATAGTAGTAATTTTCCATTTCAACAGAACCACTATTTTTAGAAAAATGTTCTACTTTTTTCTTTTCATTACAGATTTCAGCAGGCCTTAGTCATACAGTAAAAAAGTGTAACATTTCTCCTAAGCAAAATTACACATCAGTATGCCTTTCTGTCAACTCAGTTCCAGAAACTCTCCTCCAAACACACTTGGAGACTATCCAAATCTGGGTTTGTAGATGGCACCAAGGATTCAAATTTCTGAATGTTTTAGTTAGTTGTATCAGTGTATAGAATTATGCCTTAAAAATCCTTTAGCAAAAACAATATTAGACTATCATTCTTATACTGATGATGTTCCCAGAGTCTCCCTGAGTCTAGCTAGTTATATGGTAAAGTTTATTTCATACACTAATATAGAAATCTTTCACTATGCATAATTTTACTTCTCATCTTTGCTAAAGTTGATGATTCCTAACAGAATCATTCCCCAAGAGTCATCCACTGCAAGTGTTTTTGTGAACGTTGGTGCTGAATGGGGGAAGGTATATAAGTAAAGAACCAGGGAATGCCAGATCCAAAACATAACTTAGCTGTTCCAGAATTGGTGAGAAAATAAGGGAAGTTACTTAAAATTGTATTTTATTTTTGCTTTTCAGTAGTTGATTTATTTTGCAAAAAGTAGGGAATTGGTGGATACATGTATAAATTTGAATTTTTGTTTTATTCAATAT